GTTTATCACTATTTGTTTACCAATCTATTGTTTTTTCTATACTCAGTTTCAAAAGGTAAAATAATTATCAAATTATCAGTCTCAATAATTATGCATTTAAATAAAAAATATTTAATGATAATATATCATTTGTTAATAGTACACAATTTTGAAAACTCCATTATAAATTGTATGTTGATATCCAAATCATTTTATAAATGCAATCGACTTTGTTAAATCTCCATGAAAATATGGTAAAACAAAATGAGACAATCAACTTTGTATAGAAATGAAATAAAATCAATAAATCAATATGAAGTTCACAGGAAATTAATATAATGAATAATTTGTATAGTACACGGATCTAAAAAATAATACTCACGTGGATTCTAAAATTCAATCTCATACTTATCATTATGTTCTGTAAATTGAATAACATATTTTCGGTAAGATTTTTTTTAATTATTTTAGACATGTTTTATTTATAAAATAGTTTAGAAAGATTTTAGGTGACTTCACATCTTCAATAATGATATATAAAATTTTAGATACTTTACATACGTTATATAATATTTTAGGTGTTTTTAATAATTTAACATACATTTTTTATGTTGCTTTACATACGTTATATCACATATTAACTCCACATCTTAATTACAATTATTAGTTAATATCTCTACATCTTAATTACAATTATTAATTAATATTGTTTACCCTCATATTTAATTTATAATTATTAGTTAATATTATTTACTGTCATCGTTAAATCATAATTATTATTTAATATTATTTACCCGTGCATCGCACGGGCTACACACTAGTTTTTTCTAATACAATGATGTGAAAATGGTATGCACATTCTGTTTCCTACATAAATGGATACGAAAGTGATAAGATTATATTAGGAAAAAAATACAAATAGATTTCCACATTATTATCACATGTGGTTTTAAACGCTATTTAAACGCAATTGGTTTTTCTGAAGAGATAAAAACTGTTTTGCTAAAAACTGTATAATTCCACAATTTTGCTATGTTAAGAGATATCATCCCGTGAAAATCTGTGGAATCAATTACGTGAATATGGATTGTTAATTCCGATTTTAATGGCCTGTTCCCAAAAGAAAATGCAAGATTATAAATTTATTCCACAATTAATAAGTCAAAGTTTTGACTCAATTATTTTAAGTTTCCAAAAAAGAATTTAACATCAACCTTTTTAGATATACTAGTACAGTCCCCGTGCGATGCACGGGAGTTTATTATCTCCGTTCCTTTTATAAATCAATGTTCAGTTAAAATTCAAAGTACTTACTAAAGGAAAGATCATGCCATTAATAATAAATAAATTAATAAATACAATGATAATAAAATCTATATATTATTGAACACTTCCTTATATACAACGTGCATGGTTTGATTCTTTGACACGTCATCGTCACCACAATTAGGACTTTCAAACCTATTTCTATTTGTGACACGGGAGACAACAACATATGATTGGCCATGACTAAATACTGGTTTCGTAAGCCCACATTGACTTTTAATTATAGTCATGACTTTTAAGAAAACATAATGGGAAACAACCAATCCAATAACATCTACAAAAATATAAGAAAATGCATCATATTGAAATGTATAACGTATAAAATACTTTATTACAGATTTTAAATTAAAAAAAATCGAAATAAGAAATAAATAAAAAAATTATAACGTACCAAACAACATGACTTCATCAATGTTACGAACATCCATTAAAGTTAGAAATAGGAAAATCACCCCTCCATTTGATAAATCACCCCTCCTTTTGATAATCTTGGTTTGACCATTGATAATGATCCTTCTTTTTCCTATCGTCGATTTATGGATGCCAATATTGTTTTCCACTTGATAGTTTGTCAAGATATAAGCGCCACCTTCTTTAATATCACCGATGATTTTTTGGATATTGACAGGTCGAATTATGCCAGTAATTCGTCCTCCCTAAAACATTGCATAATGAATAATTCAATAAATAAATTATAAAAGATGTTGCATAAAATGATGCATTTAAATGATACTAAAAGAATATATTACCTCAAAATCATGAAAGATAATCTCAAGAACATTTCGGTAATTGTGTACGTCTTCAACTCGTTGGAACATCCTAATTATGCGTAGCTTGATTGGTGAGTTATTGGATCTTTTGATATCCTTGATTACTCCAAAATCCGAAGCCATTTTCAATGGTGATGTAGCTTGTAGAAAAAATTATTTTGTGGGATATATTGGATGTCGAATACTTTTTGTTCAACGTTGGTGATGTTTATATAGTCATGTGTATGTGCCATATGTCTGGGAAATAAAAAAAATATTTACGTAAGGTATTTAATATGATCCGATCCAAATTTTTTATTATGATTATGATTGACTTCTAAAAATATGTGGTATCGGATTTGTTAAAAAAATAAAAAAAAAAATGTGGAACGTGATTCACTTGTGAGGGACGAACGAATATTTAGAAGATTATGTAGCCCAAAATAATGGAGTTTGTTACAACGAAATTTTTGGATAGATTGAAAAATAATATTTTTATTTTGATATTTTTCTATTTGTTTGGACAAATCTAAAACTTTAATTTACGAAATTATAATCTTTAATTTTTTGAAACGTGTAAAATTTTCTAAGATAACTTCTATAAAACAAAATTTGATCAAATCATAATTGATTTTTATGCCTCAATATTCCAAATCAAACCTTACAAATATGGTATGATTATTTACTATTAATATTTTATTTTTTCAATCTCGAAAAATATAGAAGAGAAGAAGGGGGTCTCTGCCCCCCCCCACCCCAATCTCCTATAAAAGAACCAGGTCATAACAAATATGAGGCGATACGGCAACATAATAGTTCTGATATAGCTAAGCAAGTCAGTGAGGGGTTTACTGGCGGGCGAACGATACAACAAGTGCTGTTCTTGCTCTTTCCCCTTTCGGGGTTGGAGTTGGATACGGTACAATTACAACGTCGCTAATGCACCTTTCATTTATCAAATCTCAGGGACATGGTCTAATCATGAGGGTAGTATTTTATCATGGTGTCGGATCCTAAGTTTTTATGGATTCCTTCTTTGTTACCGGGGTCGACCCAAAAGCCATAATGTCTCAAAACGAGGAGGTAGCGAAATTCCTTGTCGGGTAAGTTCCGACCTGCACGAAAGGCGTAACGATCTGGGCACTGTCTCGGAGAGAGGCTCGGTGAAATAGACATGTCTGTGAAGATGCGGACTACCTGCACCTGGACAGAAAGACCCTATGAAGCTTGACTGTTCCCTGGGATTGGGTTTGGGCCTTTCCTGCGCAGCTTAGGTGGAAGGCGAAGAAGGCCTCCTTCCGGGGGGGCCCAATACGTACATTTCTGCGTGAACCAGTTCTCGGTCTAGCTTTTGTCATGTTCTATCAAAGGCTTATATGAAACAAAGTTCAATCAAATAAAAATTGATTTTTATGCCCACACTAAAACTTTATCAATATGATATGTTTATTTTATTTATTTATTTTTTTTCAAATCCACAACTCAAATTTTTGAGAGAGAGAAAAAAAGGAAACAAAATCTTATCAAACCTTATCAAATTTTCGAGAGAGGAAAAAATAAACAAAAAAAATTGGAAACAAAATCTTATCAAACCTTATCAATAATGAACATACGTGTTTCCATGAAAAGTTAACAAAATCCCGTGGTTACCAAAATCCTATCAAATTAGTTAACAAAATCCCATTAAATTGGTTAACAATATTGGAACGCATTTTGTTAGGAAAGATTTACGTAATTTATCTATCTAATTAATATCATATTAACGTGTGGGCCCAGTGATATTAATTTAGTATACATTCCATTATCTCGGAATAATTTTTTGTTTGATTTACAACATTAATTTTGAATGAAAAAAATATCCGTAATTGTTGAGATATCTCAATTCAAAATCTCAAATTTTTAGCATAATAATCTTCAAATTTGTTACCAATAAAAATAGATTTCTATGGGATTAATATTTAAAATGAATTAAATTTTGGTATAAGAATTCCAAATTTGTTACCATAAGAATCTTCAATTTGTTACCATAAGAAACCCATAAAAATCTCCTATGGATTGGAGTTTATCAATATTTAGTATAGCATCCATTATTCAAGGAATAATTTTTTGTTTGATTTACAACATGAATTTGAAGGGGAAAAAATCCAAAATTGTTAGGATATCTCAATTCAAAATCTCAATTTTTTGGCATAAGAATCTCCAATTTGTTAACATAAGAATCCTATAGAAATCTCATATGAGATTAGAGTTTATCAATAGTTGGTATAACATCCATTATTTTTTGAATAATTTTTTGTTTGATTTACAACATTAATTTGAATGGAAAATAATCCGTAATTGTTGGAATATCTCAATTCAAAATCTTAATTTTTTGGCATAACAATCTTCAAATTTGTTACCAATAAAAGTAGATTTCTATGAATTAATATTTAAAATGAATTAAATTTTGGTATAGGAATTTCCAAATTTGTTACTATAAAAATCTCCAATTGTTTTAGGATATCTCAATTAAATTTGTTACCATAAAAATCTTTAAATTTGTTACCATAAAAATCTCATTTTTTTTGGTACATATGTTTTTTCGAAATTTCCACTAATAGTAAGTCAAACCATTTATTTTTTAGTCAAACTTACTATAAAAGTATTTTTCCAACAACTTCTTTATATTACTATAGATAGATATAGATATAAAAAAATCTATGTATATATAATTACTAGCTAATAGAATTTAATAAAACTTATTTAATTTTACCTATGTGGCAATTTAACAATTTTCCCTCAAAAAACCGTTACATTTTGATGTATTTAATCTTTCATTTAATCATTAAATAATTAATACTCATCACTTCAAAATTACAAAAATCATTTTAAACTTTTGATTAATGACAGTTGATCATATAATGTATTGACCGTATAATGTGATTAGATGTTATTATTGTTGTTACATTTAATTTTTTTTTTTTTGAAAATAAAAAATATATTTGAAATTCCTAAATAAATAACAAATAATTCACAAATAAAAGACGTACCAAAATATACAATACATCCAATCAGATAAACGCAATTTT